AAAAATTCATATTTTTTTTGCTGATGTGAATATTGTAATTGAGTTTTATCTTTTGAAAAACACACACCAGCGGTAGAAAGTTACAAGAACAGCAGTAGCAATAAGAAGGAAATACCAGCAGTGTATGTACTTTTGGGATAGGATTTAGTGTGTTGGCATACACGTCAATAAAATTTGTTTAGCTTGGTTTTCTTGTAGATTTAATTTTGACATTTTAATTTTGAGTTTATGAGGACTGGATGAAGAGTTTTGGGGATTTATTGTCAGTTTCTAGTATGTTGCTGTATAAGGATAGAATAGTTGATGAAAATCTTATGCACTAAGTCCATATGAGAAGTTTAGGCACCTGGTTTGGATTTAATGAGTTATGGACTCGGTTCTCAGCAAGAGCAATCTTGTTTCAACTGAAATAAGTTCAAAACAGCGTTCCAATTGTATCCCACAACATTTAACATTTAAATCCATGATATTTTTTACTGATCTAAGCAAAACTTTGAACTGTGTGCAAAAGGGGGGACTTTTATGTGATTCCTTATTCCATATTATTACTACTGAAATGATTTTCTCGCTCCTCATCAAAAAAAAAAGACGAAGAGTAAAGAAGTCTGTCTAATCTCTCTTCGCGCGATGCACCACGTTGTGAATTTTTCAACATCGCCCCTTTTTCGTGACGTTGAATAAATTTTTTGTGTTTCATTTTCACTTGAAATGATATGATGGGCTTTGAAACAGTGTAATTGAATTTTCTTCTCACATTATATAGAATTTTGAGAATGTGTGAGCGAGATAGGATGAGACTTTTCAGACCAAAACTTCTGAACAGTATATACAAGAACAGATTGCGTGTGCATGTTTTGCTCTTATCACGAAACTGCCAAACGGATACCAGAAATTATTGCGATATCGCATTTTTGTGTCAGCCAGAAAAAGAAACATGCCAAAAAATGAATGGTGCGGTGGAAGAAACGAAAGGAAGAGCATTATTAATTATGGGAACCAAAAAGGGAATTATCAGTTGTGTGAATGAGCTTGAAAAATGCCACATCGTCATGATAGGAAAGAAAATAACAGCAACAAACACAAATAAGGGTTTATGGCATTGCAAAACGGTTGATAAAAAAAAATTTCTCGCAACTCATTAGCACGAGAATTGAGAAATTGGATGTATTGCAAAAATGGAATTTTCAAACAAATTTTAAAAACGTGCTTTATCTCATTTATTGTGTGCTAATACATTAAAATAACATGCTGTGAATGTTGAATGTAGGATTACTGATAAATATGATTTAAATTCTTCAAAGATGGAATTAAGGAAGTGTCGTGTGGTTCTCAAGGCATTTGCTCTAGAAAATTGATTGAATTAGGTTTGTTATAGCTTCAATATTAATGGAAGTTGCTAATTATTTGAACCAATTATTAAATTTTGACTTAAAAACAAATCTTTGTTTGATATAAAATTGATCACTGCTGAATTCATAGCTTAATGTTCGGAACTTACAAGGTCCAGTGGTATTTTAGCATAAAAGTATGATTTTAACATTTAATAAAGTTTTCTACATATGTCTGTAAGTAGTCAAAGTTATACTCAATATTCAAATTCTGTTGAGATAAGACTTATGTTTGCATAGAAATCTAACAATTCAGTAAAAATAGCCGTAGGTTGTTCAAAAATTTAAAATCAAGGTTATCAAAATTATTTTGATTCCATAAAATTTCAAATTTTTTAAAAATAATTACTTGTTCATGTTTTTTAAAGCTGCTGAAAATCCCACGAAACATTTCCAAAAAAAAAAATAAAATTATTTTTAAATCAAATTTCCAATTAAGATTTTTCATTCAAAGGAAGTTCATTAATTCCTCTTGAATGGCTCCTGATTCATAAAATTTCTCATTAATTCCTACACAATTTTTTCCAAATAAAATCCTTGAGAAAATTAATTCTTCTCAATTTCACATTTTTCTTATTCATCAAATACTCCCCCGAGCGGCACAAGGTGGAGGGTGGTCTCCATATGGAATCCATATGAAAGCCACCTCCACTATGTGGAAAGTAAATGGAGGGTTATTTTTTCATCCTTCATATTGATTCCATTTGGATTCCATATGAACTCCGCTTTTTCTTAAATCAAATACCGAAAAACTCGTGCTTTTGAATTTTTAAAAGACAAAGGTCAGATCTTACTGTAATGGATTGAAATATTGTCGAAAAGCTTTACTGAATCATATTGCTTCATTTCAAGCTTTAAAAAAGCAAAAAAGGATAATTTTTTGTGATTTTGTATGAAATTACATACTTCACAACTGCATGCAGAAATCACTATTATATGGGGTCGTTTAATTTGTATGAAAATTTTTAATAATTTCTTATGTTTCTCACGCGTGTGATCGAGACTTAGAAATTGCTGTGGTTGCGACTTAATTAAATTAAGTTGTAAATTTTTCAATAGTGTTAGTGTACTTTAATTAAGTCCACTAATACAGCTACAAATCTTGATATAAAAATTGCGAAACATAGAAAAACACGTGGAAAATCGTACCAAAAATCCTTTGAAAAATACTTCCATTAAACCTCCGTTTGACTACCACAAATGGATCCTCCATCCTCCATCAAAACCTCTCAAATGACTTCCATTTGGTGTTAATAAATGCACGTCCCACGGAAGATTTTCGGAGCTTTGGCTCCGTCAAGGTTCCAAGATAGTAAGGTTTTCGGATGATTTTAAAATGGAGGGTGGAACATGGAGGCTCCGTATAGCTTCCATATGGAAGGCAAATGGAGCCTTTGTGCCGCTCGGGTCCGCGACTATATTCTTAAGCTAGATACACGAAGAAGCATGTCATTGCATAAATTAAAGAGATTTAAGCAGTAATTCAGTAAAACTTCTCCTCATTCAATGTTGTAGGTGATAATTTGTCCGACACTTTTTAATGCAATTCATTGCCACCTACCCAATACAGATAGCAAGCTATAGCTTGTCATAAAAAATAAACTTTTTACTTTCAACTAAAGAAATTTCCTTTTCCTCTTCCTATAATGCATTGAGTGTACATGCTATACAGAATGAAGCATGAAAAGCGCTACTTTATTTTCCATTTGCACTTGTTGTTGTTGTTGTTGTTGTTGCTGCTGCTGCTTTTATCCTCTCATTTATACAAAAAAAGAAGTAAAAAAATGCTCTCATACCCTCACACTCTTGCCTGCTGTTTTCCCATTGTTATCATCAATTCATTTAAAAAATGTACGAAAATGTTTATGTTGTTTTGAAAACTTCTACATGATGTTGTTGTTCGATGGCTGGTGTTTTTTCCCATCATCAGTGTTCAGTGTAAAAATGAAATGTGAACAGTAGAGTGGGTGAGCATACAATAGAACTGAATAAAAAAAAAATAAATTCTATATCATATAAATGTAGGGCGATGGTGGTGGTAACTTGGTTGTTACAGGAAAAAAGTAAGTGTGAGTGCTGTCAGTATCAGCAGAATGAGTAAAAATTGAGGATTGAGGGTAGCAAAAGAGAATAAAAAAAAAGTTTTTTTTTTCGTACGTCGGAGGCGACAGAAAATACTCAGATGGGTCGTGTTATTTTTATGTTGAATGGGATTTAAACATTGTGGGAAAATTCACAATCTAATTGAATGAGCTCAGTAGGAAAGAGAGAAAGAAAGAGAGAGAGCGAGAGCTGAAAAAGGAGAAAACAAAAATCATCGCACGTTGGTGGAAAAAATCAAGTAAATGAATTATTGTAGGCGGTAAATTGAAACGATTTTACCGTCAATACTAATCAGGTGATTTATTATCATTAAGTATGGATATGCTTTGCAATAATGTTGTCATGTCTGCGAACGGTTGCATATCTAGCTTGTCTGAGAGCTTCCAACAATAGCTGAACGTCAGCGCTGGTTGGATGTTGAATGTCTTGGGGATGTCTGAAAAACCTAATGCTGATGAGCATTTTAGATCTTTGAAAAGGAAAGTTATGGAAATCAAGGACCTTCTATATCCAGGCTATAACTTGATATTTGGTTTTGAGGCTCAGTCACTGTCAAAAGCTAACCTCAAATAATGATTATAAATTCCAACATAATTGAATCGATTAAAGCCATCCAAAAACCTAACCATAATTCGGTAATAACCTCTGAAGTTAAAACCAACATAATCAGCAGCAGTCAAACCATAAAAATCGACAGAAATAATTTGCACAAAAAATAAGCTAAAGAAAAGCAAGAAAATGATGAACATGGAAACATTATGAGCACATTTTTTATAACTTGGCACACAAATTAGATTCGATTAGGTACCATGTACATTTCTATCGATTATTTTTTTCATATTCTACTTCCATCCAACCCACTTGCAATGTCTATTAATGCATGAGAATTTTTTTCCTTTGAAACAGACTGTGACAATGACAAAAATTGGTTTATTGAGCGAATCGTTGGTATACATTAAGGTGAAAATTGATAGTAGAAGTTGTAGGGCTTGGCAATTACTCATCAATAATTTATTGAAATGCCACAAATTGATTGCAAAGCCCATTCACTCGAAATTATTATGAGGAGAGAAAAAAAACCATCACCGATACCGCCAAATGTATTTAACTGGCTCATTAAAACGTGATTTATTTTTCAGGTGATATAAGGGTGAATTGAGCGTGATAAACACACAAAATAAAAAAAATGAGGAAATATTTCAATGCGCATATATTGAGGAACAGCACATACAAAATTTTTTTTTTGTGTGTCTCATTCTCATTTAATAAATTTTAATGCATGTGTCGTCTATTCAATATTAATGGTGTTGGTGGGAAAACTTTCGTCTGTGTCCAAACGATTAATTAAAGGTGAAACAGCGATGACAATAAGCGAGTAAATTACTACTTAGTAACAACATTCAATTAAGTTTGATGTCGATATTTTATTTATTCATGATTGTCATGTGCTTAATTTGCCATAATGATTACTAGAAGCCGGATGCATTATAAAGGGTTTTCTTAACTCACCTTTTGATCTCCGAACACTTCCACTGTCATACACCTCTTTATCCGGTATCTCTTCCTTAATTGCCTTCCCGTCGAGTGCCATCTGTAAGGATAGAAATGAGAATGTGACATGATGAATGTGAATTTGTTTTTTTTTTTTTTGATTGAAGAACAAAATTTAATTTTAATTATTCGCAAAATTTGTTCCTCCCTATAATCATCTTCTTGCTGCTCAATGACACTGTCTTCATCCATGCTTTAACATTTTAGGGATGGAATGACAGAAATTAATGAATTAAATTTGGATTAAATGAAAATCTTTATGATAAATTAATTTGTATGTGCTTGAGACTGTGCTCAGTATGTTTTGAGATGGAAGGTAGATGAGCATCATGTGCACTCAATGACGGTTTGAGTCATCATCATTATAATTGCGATGAATTAAGGCAGGCGAGTAAAAAAGAGAGAGAGGTAAAATACGGTCGATTATTTTGAGTTAAAAATTCCACAAATGCCCCAACAATCGTGGATTCATGATTGAATCAATAAAATGTGAGATAATGAAAGCAATGCAAGGCAAAGCAGATAGCGAAAGAGATGGAGAAGAAATAAAAAAGAAACAACAGACGGAAGCAAAATGTGCGAGAGACGTTTTGATTTAAAACATCTGGCAGTGGAATTTTTCTCTCTCATTTTTCTACTTCCACAAAATAACCATCGACAGTTTCTGTTTCTGTTTTTCTCGTTTATAGTTCATTACACAATTGCCATTGAGTGACTCTGCACTCATCCAGTAAGTATCAGCCAGAGACATCAACAACAACAATAAAAGCAGTTTCCAGTGCCAATTCGAATGTTTACGAATTCTTTGGCATGTCTGCCGCTAGTTGCTGTTTCTGTTTTGCTTCTGCTTATTTTGTTTTTAAAAATTGAAAAGTCACATGGCATTTATCATCATAAAAAGATATAATTTTTGCCACAGAAAATGCAGACGCACACACTTTGAACAGACATTCAGTTGTGAATGTTGTGCCCGAGCAGCTTGTTTAATTGAAATCTGGACCAATGACTATATTTTATTCTCAGATAAATGAAGAGGAATAGGTGTAGATCAAGTAGCAAAATCAAAAACGGAACCAATTGAAGCAGAAACAGCTCAGCATGAACAGCTCGGATCTCGACAAACGCAGAAGAGAAATTTTTTTGAAGTCAAGAACGAGAGTCAACGAGGCACTTCAAAAATCTCAGACACAAAACAGCACTGTTCATATCCATTATGAGTTCTGGATTTCATTTATCTGCGTTGAATATTTCTGCAATTGGTGCTGCAACTTCTGTTCTTATCAAAACAATTCTCGGTAATCAAAACAAACTTTTTTGTGTGATTCTTTCTACTTCTTGCATTAGAAATGAGTTGAATTGGTTTACATTGATGTAGGAGTGACTGAGATCAAGGCAAGCGGATGAATGAAATGGAAATTTTCAACAGTTGTTCTTGATCTCATCACCCATTATGTGATTTATTGTAAAGTATGTTACATTCAGCATAATTCAACAAAACAATATGAAAATGAACTGCTTTAGAAAAAAATGTTCAGCATGTCTATCGATTTGGAATGAGTAGCACAAGAAATTGAGAATTTAAACAAACTCAATTAGGAATATAGCTGCAAGGCAGCATGAATGAAATATTATAAATTAAAATGAATGAATTATAAAATATTTCATGTCATTGGATATGCCTTTTTATAGAATTTCATGAAATTTAGATTGAATTTATTCGCATAAGCAGACAACCAGGCACAAAACAGGAAATATTGATGATGAGAAAGTGAACATCACCTGTGAATTTTCACATCAGCCATCAGACAATGATAATAATCGTCACAATGATTCCCATTCACAACCGCATTGTTAGACATTAATATTCGATTTGGAACTTAAAAATAATGAGTTAAAGCATGAATTGTTTCGCACGCAAAATTATTTTCATTTGACAATTTTTTTCAACATTTTATGGATATTGTGTCCAACCAACAATAACTTCAATCATTTTTTTATGCTATTTTATTTTAATTTCTGTACCATAAAGCATAATCGCACTGCACGAATGCTTGCCAAATGTTTCATTCATAATTTTCATTCCTCTCTCGTGTTATAACATCAGTCGACGATCGACAACGGCAGGCAAGCATTTGAGCTAACTGTAACATACAGCAACATCAGGAACAGCAACAAAAAAGTTTTTCCGTATTTTAAAATTTATCAAAAAAAAAATTTGTTTTATATTATAATTCATTGTATGACGATGATGGCTGACGATGGCTGATGGCAACATGTGTTCACAATATGTTGACAGTTTCAATTTCATCTAAAAGAGCACTTTTGTGTGTATTTTGATGATTTTTTAACTCCAACTATTTCTCTGTGTGCCAAAAATGATTTTCATTTGTGACTTTTTCTATAATAAATGAAGAACCGCTGATTCCGCGTTGTTTAAATTTAATCACTCATCCAATTGATTGTTAGGACAAGTGTTCATCTATTTTGTTCATATCCATAATTTCTCTTTTGAATTTAATTTACTTTTCGTGTCTGTTTCACAACTGATTGTTCGAGATATCTGCAGACCAAATGATAAAAGAACAACATTCCTTCATGCTGCTTTTTTAATACAAAAGTCTTTCGTCTCATTTTAAGATTGTTTATTTAGGTGCAAAATTTATATGAGACAATAAAGGCATGTAAAAAGACACACCTAAAAAAAATTCAATTGAAGTTTTCTAATAAAATAAATAAAACTTTATCTCAAATGATATTAATGTGCTCCTTAAAATGAATTTTTAATTTTTTAGGCAGTTATCGTAATGGGATAGAAAGAAATTGGTATAATGGATGTTCAGTAGAAAGTACGTAAGCGCATTTTTGGATCTTTCGAATTTCTGTTTTGTGAACACATTCTTTTTGAGTTTGAACAGTCTTTTCTTTTGATATTGCTTAACAGAACTGTTTTTAAATATTTTAACCCAAAAAGTTATTGATCGTTACTCAGGTGAATTTTATCAGTTCCTTGTTGATTGATGGAAATTTACTTAAAAATACGTGTAGATGTTTTTAATCTCATTTTACAATTTTATGCAACTTTATCTGTATTTTTGGAAACTTATTGATTCATGTGGCAAAAATCAACTTATTTTTGTTCGAAATTTTGAAATTCTGTAGATTTCCCACGTTTATTTTATTTACAAATTGCTAGACTAATCAAAATACTTGAATTTCGAGATTTTTGATTATTTAAACTGATTTGTTGAACAAAAGTTATGTTATCAGCTTTGCTCACTCTTTTTCAGCAGTATGTATCCTCTCAAATGACAAATAAGCATGAAATTATGCCAAAATTTAAGATCGAATTTGTCAAGTGGAAAATGTAAACAAACATTTCAATTCCTCTAGTTTAAGAAGTAAAGAGCTAAAACAAAAGTTTAAAATGAGACAGACTGACAAATTACTTAAGAACCCTCGGTCTCGAATAGGATAGATCTTAACAGAGATGTAAAATGCGAGAGAAGTAAGACAAGGGAAAGTGAGAATGAGAAGAAAAAAAAAATGATGAATGGGGAAATTGTTTACAAAAGTTCCTAAACGAGAATGAGAAAATTTTCTACGAGATATTATTAGAACAGGTGCAAAACAGAAATTTGTATCCAATTTGATATTAAAAATTTTTTCAACCATGTGGCATCAGTTTGAGTTTAACTATAAAGCACGATGAATAAAAAAAGGAAGAGAATATAGGATGGAGTGAAGAGTCTTAGTCAACAAAAGTTGGGCAAGAAAATGGTAAGTCGAGAGTAAATATTGTCAACTAATCAGTCAGCTTGTTCAGACTCTCATATGTCTTTTAAATTATTACAAGAGAACTTACATATGGATATGTCACATAAATTATCATTTAACATCTCGTGCTTCTTTTTATTACTTAACAAATTATCCCATTAGCAATATTTTAACACCTTCTTGAATGCCTTAGGAACAGCATATAATACCAAATGATTCATTCCACAGCGTGTAAGTATTTCACATCATTCCATTTGTTTCATTTCATTTACAATTTAAAAAATAAAAAAAAAAATTGAATTTTTTACATCTTCTTATTTCTTTTTTACCCATTTTCCTTCATCATCATCAGAAACAGCAGCAGTATGGTGAATATTCATTCATCGACATTAGACAAGAGAAACAATCTGCTATTCGTCAATTATATTTTAATGAATTGTACTTAGCCAGTTCGGAAACATTTTTTGGCACTGCTATAAACTTTCCGAACACTCAACGTAGCACAGCATTTGGTTTTTCTCATTCAATCCAGAAATAATTTCTATACGCAATCAATGGATTCTTTTTTTTCATATTTCTAACTCGAGAGAGAGAATATTTCATATTTTAGGATGAGTTTTTGAGTGAGCAATTATCAAAGGATGTTCAATGTGTAGGGAGGATGTTCTGTGTGGTTATGAAATCTCCATTAAGTTCCCTCACGTAAACCAGCAAAAGTGATGAGAAGTTTAAACAGTTTTTGATGTGGTCACATTCTGTCCATTTGTTTACTTCTTCTGTCTTTTTATTTGTGAGTACCTTTAGGACGTGCTTAAAATATTCCATTTTACACTTTAATCTAATCTTACTTCTGCAAATAATGCTCAGTAATGCTTCGTGTGAAAAGCATGCAAATTTTAACGGATTTTTGAGATTTGAATTTTTTAAAATTATGAAGAGCTGAATTTTTGAATTTTTAAACCGGTTAAAACTTTATCTTGCAATTTAGAACGTTATGGCATTTCCAATTATACCCAAAAAAAAATCATACTCGTCGTAACTAAGCAAAACCAGCAGATTATTTCATTACCAACTATAAAACTTCCGGTTTTATTGCAAACAGAAAATTTCACCATTCATCCTTTTTTTGCCCATTCTTGATGGCTTTAACATCAGACACCATCAGCAAGTACGAACAATACACAAAGTAACATCAGAAATGTCACCAACATGTGAGTAAGTGAGAGAAAGAGATGAGAAATCATGTGGCAGCATCTTGAACACGAA